CAGTACTCCATATCCAGTACAATTGGGCGATGGTCAGAATGGACATGTTCTTCATTGATAACTTCCGCTCGTGGAAATTTGTTTGCCCATGCTAAGTTACAGACTGCCCGATCAAGGCGCTCACGTATTTCGCCTCTCCTCCAAGTGAACATGTCCCCCTTATAGCCTAGATCTTCCAGCCCACAATCCATTAGGCATTACCGGAACTCTCTCATCATACCAAGTGGTCTAGCTACACCACCCTCTTTTTCCGAGGGATATAAAATTTCATTAAAATCCCCCCAAAACCACCCAAGGATGGTTGTTCTTACTATGTAAATTGCGAATGTCATCCCAAGATAGATTGTGTTCACTCCATTTCGGATGACCATAGAAGCCCATGAACTGCCACTGAACCACATTCTCATACATAAAAACAATATCAATAAAATGGGGCGAGACATAGTCAACTCAATTTTATTGGACTCATGATAAAACAAAGCGAGGCCACCGGCCTTACCATCACTTTTCACTACAAACATAGAATCAAAACCTAATACGCGACGAAGCTCATCGGCTTTACAATTATTCAAATGGGATTCAGAAAGGAAAATTAAATCTGCCCTTGTATGCTTCTGTAGATCCAGAAGCTCCCGAACTGTCGTGTTGGAGAGCATACCACGGCAGTTCCAGCCTAGGATTTTCATTTGGCCTGGTGGTCCTCCTCCTAAGAGGCCGCCGATGTGCCAATCTCATCTTTGTCTTCGCTTACTGATTCCCCACCTCGCGGCGCGTACTCTTCCTTCTTCTCATCAGTCTCCTTTGCAACATGTGTAACCCCGCCCTCCTCATCCTGGACTGCTACAACTCTACCCGCGCACACCCGTTTGGATGTGGTGTTTACATCACCATATAAGATGCGCTCATAACTATCCATCTCTTTCTCAAAAGAAAACTCTAAGTCACTGCCCGTTGGATGAGACCCAAAATAATGCCCCCTTTTTTCCCTAGCACTTGCTTGCACGCATCTTCAGCTCTGTTTGACCCCCCTTTCTTTTTATCTTTCTTTTTGAATTGCCCCGCATAGGATTTTTTGCTGCACTGAATTTAAATGGTAGAGCATTCTTCTCTGTATCACCCCCGGCCATAGCGATTCTTGCTGCAACAGCGCTAGAGAGCGCCTCCAGCATCCCCGGCTGAAAAAGAAGCTCGCCAGCACCATCTCCATGCGGTGGAGTTTTCCTCGGCTTCACCTGTGCATGAGAAATCACAGCCGAGTGACCTGCATGTGTACTTTGGGCATGTACAGCGTCATAACAAAGTTGACTTTGGTCAACCTCTGCATTCTGGCGTGACTCCAGCATGGTCACGCGGCCCTGGACCTCCTGGCCCCGCCTGGCCGAATCAGCTAGCGTGCCCGCCTGGTCCTCTTGACCAAGCAGCGCACCCGCCGGGGTAGGCGCCATGATCCCCTGCGTCCGGCCCTCCTGGCTAGTGTTCATCTTGACGGAAGTAGCGGCCCCCTTATCAGAGACCGTGAGCCTGCTCATGGTAGTGGCCACCTTGACGACATCAGTGGCCTTGGCGATGTTGTTGTTGACGATGCCTGTAGTCGAGTTGTTGCCGCCGCGAACGTAGTTCCTGAAGAGGAGACCCCTCCTGCTAGCACCTTGGCTCTTCCGGTAGGACTCAACACTAAGGTTTCTAGGAAAACAAACTACTCTCTCCTCTCTTCGAATTTTACAAAACCTCTCTGATGTATGACCCACTATCCCACAACACTCACAGTACAAAGGTAGTTTCTCATACTTTACATCATATTTAAAGATCTTTCAACTACCTAAAGGGGTAATCTCTACAGAGCATTTCAGAGGCTCATGCAATAATATCTTCACACGCACACGCAGATATTTCTCAACAATTACATGATTTCAGTGCGAAACCTCCAGCACCTCTCCCAGTTGATCCTCGAGAGACCACCCTACACTCTCCGTCTTAAACTCGAACGGGAGATCGCATACCTGGACCCAAATGATCATGACGCCAAGGTCGACCTCCGCCTGGTCGCCCTTGCTCTCGGACTCGGTGAAAATGAGGCCGTACCGCTTGAAATGCCATGGCTACGCCTTAAGCACAAACCGACAGTCACTCTCAGCGGCAAAATTGAGGATGAACCTCCCGTCGTCGCTGGCCACCTCCTGGATGGTGACCACACCCTGGTTCTTCCAAGCCGTGCTCCGGAGGTCATCGACTATGACCCTCGGGTTGACCTGGAAAGGGGATAGAAGGCGCCCTACCACCAGGAGCCCGCTGATAGCCTTGCGGGCAGCCTCCATGTCAATGACAAGAGGTCGGCGAAGAGAGGAGCCAGCTTGGTCGATGGCCGGTGAAGAGCGCATTCCCGTCGCTGCATCCGTTACCCCCCTGGAGCTCACACCACTCACAACTTTCTTCCCCAAAGCACTACTCACAAACCCTCCCTGACCCACCATGGACCACCTCTCTAAGCCGCCGCAAGGGATGGAAGGATCAGAGAACGGATGAGTGTGCAGTGGTAGGATAGGTGAAGAGGCCCGATCTTTCCCGTGCCCATAGATATAGTAGGCCAAGGTTCCCTTCCAAACGACCTCTCCCATATCAAAAACAGAATCGATGCTAATAACCATGAGTAATAAGCCATAAATGTTCAGTTTCCTAATAACTACAGCAAAAATAGCTTCCTTTCCCTCATACGGATCATAAACGCCAACAGCAAAAAACTACAATCGGTGCATCAATCAGCTCACGCTGATGACTCCTACTGTCATCTGGCAGGATGAAAAAATGTTCATTTCTACAAATACTGCCTTAGAATCATGAATGTATATTACTCTATTCCCCCCTATTATAAGGAAAACACCATCAGATTCCAAAGAAATAATCGAAGGCATGGCTACTCCATGCTGAAATTTCTCGCTGATTCCTACTGCACTTGATTGCCCTTCCAAATTAACAAGCTTAGTATCCAAATCCCCATTACATTCAACACAAATTCCGGAACCAGAGCCAGCCAAATCCGCGGAAACCGGATCAACAAAAGATCCAGAAGATCGCCTCGATCCTCCCCCGAAAGGATTAGAGAGGATCACCTTCCAAATTACCAAACAACTCCGACGCTCTTCTCCTCGAAATCTTCAGGCAGTTTCTTCGATCCGCCGCCCCCGTAGAATCCGCCGCGATCTTGCTCGAATCTCCTCCCAATCACTCGCGCTGAAGAGGCCCCCGATGAGGCCCACTGTAGGAGGATCGGCCCCTCCTCCCGGCTTCGCCGGCGCTGTCGCCGCCATCACACGCGCTCTCTTGCCACCGCCGCCAGATCGCCTTCACGATCGTGGGAGCCCATGGGTTTTTTTGTTGTAAAATGGCTACGGGGCGTTTTGCGTTTCGATTATGATATAATTAATCTAAGGTGGTTGCGCCCAATATGCACAAACTCCTTGTCTTGTACTCCACACCGATGATGCGTTCTGGGATAGTCGTGGGCCACCCTGTGGCCTCTCGGCCGAGTCTTCCCTCTGTTGCTATGCCCCGTGGATGTGGCATTGTCATTGGTGGTTGTTTGTTGGATTTTATGGATTTTGCCAAACAAGGTTACTTTTTATCACCCTGACATGTGCTCATCCTTTGAAAGTGGTGTTCTATGCTTGTTCGTTGCCCTTGTATTGGACATATTTGCACAAGAAAGTGGACTGTGACACATTGAAGTGGTTGTCATAGAAGGTCTTAGAGCTGGCTCGTGTGCACTTGGGTGCGGTGCTTGTGATAATGTTGATGGAGCTTGGTTGCTACTTCTATTTTGCTTGTCCCTATTATCTTTCCATACCGCCTGTAATGATGGCAGTGGTAGCGGGGTTTTGTCGCGTAGCAAGTGTTTCGAGTGCGAGCACTTTAGAACGTGTTTCCTGATAGTGTTTCAAACTTGTTGTTTCTCTTTCACATAACCTTTATCTTGTACTTCCTTCGTTCCTAAATATAAGTCTTTTTAGATATTCCAATATGGACTAGATACGGATGTATATGTCCGAGTGCGAGCACTTTAGAACGTATTTCCTGATAGTGTTTCGAACTTGTTGTTTCTCTTTCACATAACATTTATCTTCTACTTTCTTCGTTTCTAAATATAAGTCTTTTTAGATATTTCAATATGGACTAGATACGGATGCATATAGACATAGTTTAAAATGTAGATTCACTCATTTTACTCCGTATGTAGTCCATATTAAAATCTCTAAAAGACTTATATTTAGGAACGAAGGGAGTAATAGACATACTATTTTTGTTGCCCAATAGAAAGAGGGAAGGCTCAATGGAAAACGTTCCAATTAGAAAAGCTTACGGTCCAACAAACTATAGAAAGCATGAAAAAGAGGGAGTTGCCATTATTAACGCAAAATTCTTATCCAAAGCTTCAAACCACATACACCAATTAATGCCGGCTAGCACTGTTACACCCAGAAATAGAATACAAAATCGCAAGGCGCCAGGCATGTCAAACTCTCTATCCCAATCACTCCATCCTTGTACGTATCACACAACCACATCCACAGCCGCCTCAGTCAGCCACCAAGCGGCTGACGTGGTAAGCTACCAACAAAAAGATTGCAAGCTGCCTCAGTCAGCTCATCCTCTCACCATGATTAACAGTAAGTTCTAGTTGATCTTCGCGCAGAAGCTAATCCCCACCGAAGAGAGGAGAGACGTGATATGATAATAAAAGAATAAAAAAAGTGTCGTCAGTTTACTGGATCCTGATCCGCGTCAGGTGGGGCCAGCTGTCGGGCCATCTTATCCGTTAGGTACGGCCATGAGACACGTACGCTCCCCGTCGCCTGTGGGCCCCTGCCGACGAGCTGTCACATAACGGCGGTAGTACTTAACTCCATTCTTTAAACCGCTCTCTTTTCTTTTCTTCTTGCTTTTGCACACGTACGTTACGTGCTAGCACTAAGTGCATCCGGTTGCTTGGTGTTGGAGGCAGCACATCAGAACGCGAAGCTCACGCCGCCGCCGGTGGCACTGGCGCGGCGGCCGGACCGCACGGCGGCGGTGGAGGCGCCCTTGGCGCAGAAGCTGCTGCCGGCGTCCTCGTCCATGAAGATCTGCCTGCACCGGCACTCCACGCTGCAGAACGCCTTGTCACCTCTGCAGTAGTACCATGGATCTACATCAGACATGAACGAACAAACTAGCTAGATCGGTTGTGCATCGATTATATAGGAGGTAGCTTCTTGATGCAGCTGCACGCGCAATCTAGCTAGCTAACCTGTACATGTAGATGTCATTGTTCTCGGCTAGATCCTTGTGGCACAGCAAGCAGCGCTGCAAGAAGGAACCCGTGCTTGCGGTGGGCCTCGCTGCCGGCGACCAAGGGGACGAGGAGATCTTGGGGCTATGGAGAGTGGCCTTGCTGATGATCTTGGCCTTGATGGAGTTGCTCTCGTGGGTCTCTAGGAGAACGCTCAGGCCAGCCATGAAGGGGATGCCTATCTTCTCGCTAGCTAATCAAACTCTCTCCTAGCTCCTCTCTACTTCGAGTGCGAGATCTTTTCTTTCAAGGGAGGGGGTTGGTGCTTATAAAGAGTGAGGAGTGTGTGTGCTGCGGTATTGAACATGTAGAGGAAGCGTTTGATTTTTTGGGAAAATCTATACGGGGACCTTCCCTGACGTGTCTACCCGTGCGATCTTTCAACGGCCTCCCTTCTATAACATGTACCCTCAAAATGTCCGCGAATCGTTCGGACCAACATGTCCGGACGCTGCAAGTCATCCGACAGGATACCACATCGGTCTATGGACGTGTTTGGTTTTTCGAAATTCTGCAAGCAAGACACAAATTAGGCGGAGCTTTGATGGCGTTGGGACCACCGACACGTACACGCCTGACCACCAGGTCCCACCCTAAAACCCTCTCCGCGCGAAGTGATCGTCGTGCATTCATGCCGGTCAGCCTGTTCCAGTGCGGACGTGATTCCTACACGACATTGATGTCGGTCAGAGCGAGAAGACCGGACGGGCGGGCGAGGCCGCTTTAATGTCGACGGGGCAATCGAGAAGCCTACTCCAGCTGGTGTGCCATATTGAAGCCAGCTTCCCGTCCGTTTGTCCGGTCGCGTCTATTTAAGCACGGTTCCAATGCCGTCTACACCACACCACCTCTCCTCTCCGCTCACATTATGGCTACTCCTCTCGGTCTTCGCTCATAGATGTTGACGATGCCGAAGTCGTAGTTCTTCGCGCCGGCAGGTGGCGGCTCTGGACCTTGGTGTCATAGCCATCGCTCTCAGGGCCATCGACCTCCACGATTAAGGGTCGGCTCCTCCGAGAAGGAGGGGGTTCGTCATCTTGTCCGGCGACGAGGAGCAGCATCAGACGTGCCTCCGTAGATGGAGTTCATGATCAAGTGATCGCTCTAGTACCACAATCCGGCGCCGCCTTCACCACCACGAGCCGCGTCAAGGAGGATTCGGCGTCTCCACCTCGCCACCGCGTCAAGACAGAATCGGCGTCGCTATCGCGTCAGGCGAAGCCGGTGCCCCTCGCATAACCGTGGCTTCCAAATTGGATATTGCGTGAAGGATGAGCTAGCGTCGCCGCAGCGCCAGGTGTGGCACGACAAGGCCGTCAAGGAGGAGGTGTCCCCCCCCCCACAATCTCGAAGGTGTGTGGGCGCCTCCTCCACTGCCTCGGTGGGGTGGTAGCGGCGAATCCTCATTGTAGAGCATCGTTTCGGCGGAGGAGAAGATTACCATAGAGGCAGCATGGAGAGATCGGCGCAATGCGGCGTGCCGGGTGACGTTCACAAAGTCAGACGCGACATTGGCCAGGATCCTCCCAGACCTCGGCCTACTTCATGTATGACTATACGGTCATGTCATTTGGATTTACCAATGCCCCCAATGAGGGAGTCCTGGACTAAGGGGTCCTCGGGCGTCCAGTCTGTTAGCCATGGGCCGGACTGATGGGCTCTGAAGATACGAAGACTGAAGATTGCACCTGTGTCCGGATAGGACTCACCTTGGAGTGGAAGGCAAGCTTGGCGATCAAATATGTAGATTCCTTTCTTTGTAACCGACCCTGTGTAACCCTAGATCCTCTCGGTGTCTATATAAACCGGAGGACTTAGTCCGGAGAGGAGGATATACATTATCATAGCCATACGAGCTAGGCCTTTAGGGTTTAGCCAATACGATCTCGTGGTAGATCAACTCTTGTAATACTCATATTCATCAAGATCAATCAAGCATGACGTAGGGTATTACCTCCATAGAGAGGGCCCGAACCTGGGTAAAACATTGTGTCCCCTGTCTCCTGTTACCATCGACCTTAGACGGACAGTTCGGGACCCCCTACCCGAGATCCGCCGGTTTTGACACCGACATTGGTGCTTTCATTGAGAGTTCCACGGTGCTGTCGTCAGGAGGCTCGATGGCTCCTTCAATCATCTACAACGATGCTGCCCAAGGGGAGTTTTCCTCCCCGGACAGATCTTCGTGTTCGGCGGCTTCGCTCTGCGGGCCAACTCGCTTGGCCATCTGGAGCTGATCGAAAACTACGTCACTGGCCATCAGGTCAGATTTGGGAGCTTGAACTACGTTGCGGACATCCGTGGAGACTTGGTCTTTGCCGGATTCGAGACCGCGGCTACCACTCCAGGTCACCCCGAGGGACGTGACCTATATCCGGCATTGGACTGCATCCAGGAGACAACTCCTGTAACTGCTCTGGTCTTAGATCTGGAGCGGATTGCGCCATCCAAGGACAGGAAGCTCGACCCTGCCATGGAGGCCACAGATTCCCCGGCGTTGGAGCCGCACATAGACTTGACCTCACACGATACCGGTGCCACCGGAACTTCGGACTCGCCGCCGGTCATAAGCTCCGAACCATGTGAGCTCGCAGACGTCGAACTTGATCGTTTATCGATCTTCGAATTCAGCGCCGCAAACATCTTCCAGCACTCCCCTTTAGGAGACATGTTAAACTCATTAAAAAGCCCGTCCTTGGCGGAGGACTCACAGTCAAACTATGTCCGGTTAGAACTAGGGGCTGATGATGGAGAATTTTGCTTCCCACCCGCCACCCACTTCATAGCCACGGTCGAGGATTTAACCGACGCGCTTGATTATGACTCCGAAGACATCGATGGTATGGACGACGATAACGGAGAAGAGGAGGCCCCGAACCCGCCGTTCACCGGGTGCTGGACGGCCACTTCCTCATATGATGTATACGTGGTGGATGCACCAGGGGAGAAAAGCGGCGATGACAAGGAAGACCCAGCTGAGGATAAACCTTTCGAAATACAATCAAAGCGCCGGCATCAGCGGCGCCGCTCTAAATCACGCCGCAGTAAGGACAGCAATACCGGCACGGGAGAAGATAACACTCCGGAAGGTGCCGAAGACAACGAAGACCATGTTGACGCAGCTACGGAACAGGATGAACGAGAAGATGGGCAGGTTAGCCCTGGTAAACAGGCCACACACGAAGACTCGGAGGACGATAATTATCTTTCGCTCTCCGACGATGAGGTGAACCTCGGCACTGACGATTTCACCGTGCCTTAGGAACCTCTCGAGCAGGAGTGCTTCAAGCGCCAGCTAATAGCCACCGCAAGGAGCCTGAAAAGGAAGCAGCACCAGCTTCAAGCTGACCAAGATATGCTCAATGATAAATGGACCGATGTCCTAGCAGCCGAAGAATACGGCCTCAAGCGCCCAACCAAAAGCTACCCAAAGCGCAAATTGCTACCTCAGTTCGATGAGGAGGCGCCGGAATACATACCACCATCGTACAATGCTACTGACCGACCACCACATGGTCGGGACAAAATGGCAACTCAAGCTGAACACCAGCCCGCCCCACCTCATCGCAAAGGTAGAGGTAAATCAGCCCACGGCCATACATATGACCTGCGGCAGGACCTGAACAATAAAGCGGGACATACCAGATCGATCTACGGATCGCACGGACGTGCTTCGACACGCGACAATGGCCACATCTTCGGACGTGACAAACCTAGTCATGCGCGGGCTGAAAGCCGCAGACAGACTCCATCAGAGCTACGTCGCAATACGACCCAATATAGAGGCGCCGCACACCCTCATTGCTTCACCGATGAAGTCATGGATCATGAATTCCCAGAAGGGTTCAAACCCGTGAATATAGAATCATAGGATGGAACCACGGACCCTGCGGTGTGGATTGAGGACTTCATTCTCCATATACATATGGCCCGCGGCGACGACCTTCATGCCATTAAATACCTCCCCTGAAGCTTAAAGGACCAGCTCGGCACTGGTTACACAGCCTGCCTGAAAGTTCTATCGGCAGCTGGGAGGACTTGGAAGAAGCCTTCCTTGACAACTTCCAGGGTACATATGTCCATCCACCAGACGCCGATGACTTAAGCCACATAGTTCAACAACCTGGAGAGTGAGCCAGCAAATTTTGGACTAGGTTCCTAACCAAAAAGAACCAGTTCGTCGACTCTCCGGATGCCAAAGCCCTAGCGGCCTTCAAACATAGCATCTGTGACGAATGGCTTGCTCGCCACCTCAGCCAAGAAAAGCTAAAATCCATGGCGGCCCTCACGGCACTCATGACCCGCTTTTGTGTGGGTGAGGACAGTTGGCTGGCCCGTAGCAAAAACAATGCAAGCGACGCCGGCACCCCAGAAGTTAAAAATAACAAAGACAAGTCTCGATGCAACAGATACAAGCATCGAAACAACAATGACAACACCGAGGATACGGTGTTCAATGCCGGATTCAGTGGCTCTAAGTCCGGTCAGCGGAAGAAGCCGTTCCAAAAGAACAATTCAGGCCCATCCAGCTTGGACAGCATACTTGATCGTCCGTGCTAGATTCATGGCACCCCAGACAAACCACCCAATCATACAAATAGAGATTGCTGAGTTTTTAAATAGGGCGGCAAATTAACACACCGAGAACAGGGAGAAGGGATCGCAAAGCGAGGACGATGACGAGGAGCCCCGGCAACTGAACACAGGGGGACAGAAGAAGTTTCCCTCTCAGGTCAAAATGGTGAACATGATATACGCTACCCACATCCCCAAGAAGGAGCACAAGTGCGCGCTTAGGGACGTCTACGTGATAGAGCCAGTTGCCCCAAAATTTAATCCATGGTCGTCATGCCCGATCACTTTTGATCGCCGGGAGCATTCGACCAGTATCCGTCACGGTGGTTTGGCCGCACTAGTCCTGGACCCAATAGTTGATGGGTTCCACCTGACTCACGTCCTTATGGACGGAGGTAGCAGCCTCAATCTGCTCTATCAGGATACAACATGAAAAATGGGCATTAACCCATCACGGATCAAGCCCACCAGGACTACCTTCAAAGGAGTCATACCAGGTGTAGAAGCCAGCTGTACGGGCTCAATCACGCTAGAGGTTGTCTTCGTATCTCCGGACAACTTTCGAAGCGAGGAGTTAATCTTCGATATCATC